AATATCAAATTTCCCATCTCAACATTTGGAGATAGCACAATTCTGTAGCAGGACCTCAAAACGGCGGCCTGGCCTAGCTCACAGCTTGAATTGCATGTTTCTTTGGGGGAAAAAATGGAAAAGCCTTTTTATCACGGTGTATATAAGTGGATTAGGCCTGGTTCAGATTAATTAAATCTGAGAGAGACGTCTAATCAACATAACACAAAGGGTGGGTGGGGAGAAACTGCTGTGGGATTGCTGCACAGGTGCGTACCACTATGCTAGGTCAATGTCCCTTCCGGTGCCCTACGACCTTCATAAAGAAAAACATTATAGAACAGTGTGAAGTAAATTTTAAAAAAAACACAAAAAACATATATTTTGTTGATTTTTTTACAGAGAGGAAGAGAGAGGGATCGAAAATTAGAAAATATCGATGAGAGAGAATCATCGATCAGCTGCCTCTTGCACATCCCCTACTGGGGATGTGCCTACTACAACCAAGGAACATATCCTTGACCGGAATCGAACCTGGGACCTTTCAGTCCACAGGCTGATGCTCTATCCACTGAGCCAAACTGGTTTCGGCTAAAGTAAATTTTTTAAATTCTGAAAAAAAAAAAAAGTGAAGGAGTGAAGTTACTTTAGGAGTTTAGATGTGGAGAAGCTGCTGCTCTTTTTGCTATTGGTTGCTCCATGAAGATCTGAATTTGCTTTCAACTTTAATAGTAGCTATGTGGTTTATATTCAACAAGAAAGATCTACAACTTTGCAGTGAAAGACTGTGGGTGCTGAATGATCAAGTTCAGGTTTTCTCACCACCTGGGCAGTTTGGGAGATGATTATATACTTTGGAAGTATAATTATTTGCTAGTTGAACTGAAAGCCTTGCGTCTTTCATTGAGTTCAATGAAAGTACTAAAGGGATTACCTTTAGAAGCAGAAGTTGAAAAATAGTTGGCAAGAAAGATTGCTCTACATACCTTTATTGGACATCCCTCCTGAACCAGGTTTTTATTGCTAGAAGAGACATAAAGTAACCTGCAAAATTGGAGGGCACCACAAACTTCCAAATGTATGAACTGCTCAGGGGAAGTGCGGTTTTTCCCTAACATCAGGTGTCTTTGGGCACAACACTGTGAGTGACATGGATATGGAAGAAGGGTCATGCCATTCAAGTACAAATGAGAAATACAGCAATGCTTTGGCCCATGACACACACTGCCATTTTTTAATGTTTTTTTCCTCTTAAACCATATTTCCTCTGAAATAAGTGGTAAAAAGCAAGAGTGCATGTGAGTGTGTGCATGTGTGAGTACATGTACCTTTGTGTGTGTAAGGTGACAATGAAGGTTTATCAAGATTATTGTGGGAAAAAAATAATATAAATGTATATTACTTCATAGCAGAGTCGTAGAGTCTGAAAGCTTTGCTTAATGAGAATATGACTTTCATAAGCAAGGTTATAGACTTCCTGAAAAGAAAAAAAATGCTTTATTTGATAGGTTATTTTATTTGGAATATCCTAATCTATTGAACAATGTGGTAGATATACCTTAGTATATCTTTAATTTCATACTCTAAAAATATGAGGTTTCTAAGGGATGGTTTAGTCCAGTGGTTTGTCAAACTCTTTAGTCAACAGAGCCAAATATCAACAGTACAAGGATTGAAATTTCTTTTGAGAGCCAAATTTTTTAAACTTAAACTTCTTCTACTGCCACTTCTTCAAAATAGACTCGCTCAGGCTGTGGTATTTTGTGCAAGAGCCACACTCAAGGGGCCAAAGAGCTGCATGTGGCTCTTGAGCCGCAGTTTGCCGAACACAGTTTAGTCTATATATTTCCAGTCTTTTGGGTCTTTAGAATTTTTCTCTGAGACAACCTGTGGAAAATAAATCTAGACTCTTGGCATACCAACTTATCCAACATTTACCCATATCTGCATTTATTTACCCTTACCCCCTGCTCCTTATCCTCTCCACACCTACACACACAGACTAATGCTGTGGTGCAGAGGATTGCAAACTCTGTCCTGACTCATGGGGACTCAGGGCTTCTATCCAGTGTTGTGTAATAATATACTTGGTTAGATCATTAGAGCTGTTGCTTTTATTAGCTTTTGGAAAAAAGCACAGACTGTTTAGGTACTCACATAAATGAAAACTTAAAGGACCCCATCTGGATGAATACAAGGGAAGTTAACTAAATTGTTTGAATGTCAAATTGGATGAATTTGGAAAGGAACTTAATATAGCTAATTGTATTTTCTCAAAAGAATACATGTGTTGTTTTTTTTTATTTGCTTTTGGTTTTTACAGAGTTAGGAAATGGGGTCAATGTTACCCGGTCTTTCCATGAGGAGCATAATCAGACTTGTTACTTATCCGAATTCCATGACCGGATCCCAATGCAAAACTTCCCATGTGCCTGCTGCTCCTGTGTTAGGCAGTTTCTCTCAGTTTGCCAGGAGGACTGAGTTCGGGAGTTGAGGAAGAGAACTCAGTCTAAGGTTGCCTAGAAAGGGTCAAGGGAGGGCTTTTTGGTGGGTGGGCAAGGACTCATTGTGGAGAGAGAAAAAGGTGATAGTAGTGGCTCAGTAGACCATTGAAAGGTCTAAGGCCTTTACAATCTGAGATGGTTGTTGTTAACTGAAGAGTTGTTTAATACAACTCTTATTTTGTATACATGTATGTGCGTATACTATATATTGTGGACAAAAGTACAGGTTTTTCAAAAGTAGTAAAAGTTAATGAAAACGGGGTCAATGCAAGGATTGAGGTTTATGGTAATATTTTATAACGATCCAGAAATACCTTACAGGTTATGTTGAGAAAGTTAATTGCCTCACAGTCCTAGTGAACAGAGAATATTCAGGTGAGACAGTCATGGAAGGAAAACAATAAGTACATCCCTACGATAGTTGTGCTCGCACACTGCAGTTGAACAAAAATATTAGATATAGAAAATTCAGGACAAGCAGTTGTCAACGTACAGTAGCCCATGGTGGTTACAGCTTCTATGTGAGGGACCCTCGCAGTGAGCCTGCCATGGGAGTGTCCTTTTCATCCTCATCGGGGAAGATATATGGCCCCAGAATCCCCTATTGGTATGCAGATGCTATTTTCTGATAAGTACATGGTTCTGTAACATGGTTTAGCCTCCTGGTCGGCCTGGGAACCTAGTCACCCTGTTGGACATTGCTTCTATTTTTAAAAAAATGCAATCTAAGCTTCAAAAACTGACTTTTAGAAGAAGCACAGAGGTGGCCTGTATGTCGTGCTGAAGTGGGATTTCATATCTCCGTTAAAAGTGAACTGGATTGTAGTTATGACCTTGGGCATGACTGTTCACCTGACATTCCCTGCATTTGAATAAAGAAATTTAGATGTGGGCAATATAGTCATTTACATGCATAGCAATAGTTTGCTTGATATCTCCTCTACATTCATTTTAATTGAGAAGACATTAGTTTAACATTTCTCTTGAAATGCATAACTTACTAGTAGTTCTTCAGAGTTATTTTACAAGGTCAAGCAGTCCCTGTTTTCTCCCACCTGACTCACTGGAAGTGTGGTTCCTAATATATTAATACTTAATCTTCAAGGGATACGATCATGGAAAGTAGATGCACTGCTTGTGCTCTGGAGCAAACTCAGGGACAGATGTATTATGGGATATGTCCCTCTTGGTCCCATCTCTATTTCTAGGGCAGCATCAGCAATGCATGCTTTTGAGAATATTGGCTCCCAGGAGGGTTGTAAGGTGGTGGTGGGTGATAGCGAAGAAAAGGAAGGAGCACTGTTGAAATAGTGTTTGCTGCAATGGATTACCTGCTAGGTCAATGAACCATGTGCTTAGGCCATTAAAGATGTTTCAATGAAAACTTTGAAAAAGGAAAGGAAATTTTTCTTTGAAGATTTTTATATGTGATAGTTCAACAACAAAAAAAAGCATCGAAGTGGTTATCTTGGGGGAAAATAAGAACTTTGCAGGATCAACTTTGAACTTTGGACTTTAGTGTTATTTTTATTTTAAATTACCTAGAAGTGAGGAGGAACATACTGTAATCCTTTTGGTACTTAGGGCTGTACCAGCTGCCCCGAATGAGTGGGCAGGGGACCGAGAGCTCCTGGGGACTCCTCGGTCTCCAGTTTTGCATGATATCTCGGTGGCAGCAGCGTGGCACCCGCCCAGTGCGCAGATTAAATGCATGAGCCTCTTTGCTTGATGCCCCACATGAAACCAGACCATGGGGAGGTTGCAACCAATTCTTGTTGCCTTGTACAAGTGTCTTGCTGGTTCTTTCTTTTCTCTTTTGAAACATCAGAACCACTTTTTTAGGAGACTGGACACTGTGAGCGAGGCATTTTAACTTTTATCTTTCAACTAAGCTAATCTGCTGCATTTGCTTAACTAACCTGAGCCTGTGTCCATTCTCCTCAGAGTGTGCTCTCTCCCTGTGCACTCTGACCTTCAACTTTCTCGACATGAAAAATGCTCGTTCCACAGTGTGGTAAGAACTCACACGCCAAGGCAGCACAATCACTGAGTAGAACAAGGCGTTTTGCCATCTTGGCAAAGGCTGATTCACTGATACTGAACTCACAGATCCTGGAAGGAATCGAGACCTTCAGAGTTCTATTAGCCCCGAAATGGAAGAGCCCTTCATAAAATAATTTTGATCCAGCGACAATTAGCTCTGTCAGTTACTTCTCAAATAAGAGACAAATTGGGCTCCTGAGACTGTCAGTGGTTTCAAATGAACAACTGCAAGCCTCTTTTGATCTTCACAAATGAATGCATTCTAGTGGAGAGGTTGTCAAGACATTCAAAAGTGTAAGAGGTTCTGTGTTTCCATTTCGAGTTATTTTAGAAAATCTGCCTCAGTGTGAGTTGATTACTTTGCTCTGGAACTAGCGTTGTCATTATCATCACCCTCCTGTTATCGTGATCTGACTAATATTGTGGATTTCCCCCCCGCTTCCGCTTGCATCTTCTTTTGACGCACTTGGGAAGAAATGTCAAGAAGAGGAGGTTCGATCCGAGTCAGCAAGGCCCCATCTGAATCAGCTGCGGCGGACGAACAGTGCCTCACACTGTTGGATTCTGGACGTGACACGCTTTCAGCAGTGTTGCCAGCACTGTTCAGTCTGTAAACAAGAACACTGAGTGGTCATGACTGTAGAAACTCAAGTTGGGATGACCTGGATGAGGTCAAAGAAAACTGTCTTTTTTGGAAATCATTTCAGTGAACTCCTCCTGCCACCTGTCAATAAAAGGGGGGGGGGGGGGGAAGACAGAGTTCTAAAATGAACTGTTTCAGAATCTCTTTTTTATTTTTAAAGGAAGAAGGAACAACAACAACATCAACAATTAAGTGCAATAAATGAACCATTAAAGATAGCAAATGACTTTTTTTTTCTTCCTCAGCCTGCTGGCACTTAATAACTTCTAAATGATCTGGCATGATTTCTTTTCTCTTTTCCTACCAATGACACACTCCAGTGGCATGAAGACATAATTTTTGAAAGGGTAAAACATGCATGGCATATCTACAACAAGCAGCTAGCAAGCCAATCCTCAGCCAAACCTGCAACTGAATTCCTAAGGTGGAGATGACAGGTGAACCTGGGGAAGCTGCCTGGCCCCGCCCCCTAGTCTAGACCAGGCCACCAACTCCCTGCACTTGTTGGTTCATTGTCCCATTCAGTTTCTCTTGGACCAGGCAGCCGTGGGACACAGGAGCTGGGACTTAGGCGTGGATACTATTGTATAGTTCTTTTATAAATGTAAATATGGAAATAAGAGATTTTGACACATACTGTTCACTTGTCTGTACCGAAATATTTTTCTTGCAAAGATTCTCTGTGAATTTGAGTTCATTGTTTGCTCCCCATGTTTTTGGTTCCTTTTCGCCATTTCTTTGTCTCTGACCTTCTCTCTTATAACATGTTGTACAGTGATTGTTGGGCTTGCTTAAAAATGATGTGGCCACAGATACAAAGAGTTTGGGCACAAAACGAGTGCAATTTAAAGAAATGTTTGAATGAAACAAAATGCTTTGAAACAAAAAGTAAACAAAAGATGAGGGAAACACACAACAACAAAATAACCCATATTAAAAACCCCAAAATTATGTAAATGCAAATACATGTACTGGTAAGTCTCTAAAATTATTTTGTTGTCATTATAAACATATGTATATAATGTAAGAAAGTAGACACCCTTTCAAATTATTCACTAAAGTGCCAAGCTCATGATGTTAGTGTTTGGTTTTGACAATTTCCCCCCCTGTATTTAATGTGAAAGGAGGATAAACTTAAAGCCTTAAATTAAAAATAATAATAATAATATTTTTTCAGTGTTGAAAGCTTGGAAAAGAAGTTAAGCTCTCCATTTTATTCATATCTATTACTATCAATATTTCATTCATGCTTCATCCTCCTGCCTCAAAATATATATGGTGGAACCCCACTGTAACACTGGCGATGAGACAGAAATACCAATCCCCTTTCTGTGAGCACTGCTGGCATAGCCTTTACTTCTGTGTGCTGTGTTTTCAACAAGCCTTGATGGGCCCATGGTGTGCTGCTGGTCTGTGGATAGTTGCGCTGGCTCACAGTGGGGTTCTATATATACAGAGTCACCTTCTTTTCCCTCCAGGAAGATTTGCAGATGTAATCTGGATTCCCACATCCCTCTGAGTTTAGTTCACTTTCACTGAGGTTTCTTCTTCCATTAATAAGCTCATGATCGCTTCCAATCAAGTGTTAAATACATTAATAGAGAAACTTGGTCCCGACTTTGTTCTGAATGTAAAACTTGTACATGATCCATTCACTGAGTGTCCATCTAGAGATGGGGTTTCCTGGAGACTCCAACATACCCATACTTCTCTAGCGACCGTTTAGGAACAGGACATCAGTTATACTATTCACATCATGACAACCACGGCAGTGAGCTGTAAGTCCCTTTTCAGCACGCTTCATGACATTCGTCTCACAACCTTGGCTTTGACTTTGGAAAGGATTCTGTCTTCAAAATGTGCTCTTAAAACATTAGAGTTTTTCCCACACATATATTGTTTACTTCCCCTCTCCTCCCCCCCGCTTTTTTTCTCTCCCATTCCCCTCTCCCCCTTTCCCATATATTTTAAATCCTGGAGGTAGCACAGTCCTAGAGCAGAAACTTTCTATCTGCTACAATTGACCATAACCTAACATCTTCCTCCTGCTGTTGCTTTCTGAGTACTAGGTGCTACACAGGTACGCAGTCTTTCTCTAGAGCTAGCTGTATGTGTCTATTGTGCAAACAGGGTTCTTTCTCTACAAGGTAGACCAACCTTCTTCTTGGCTTCCTAAGACACAGGTTGTGCATCTCCCTTCCCTAGTGGCAATGGCTCTTTCACCTCCGAGGAACTCGGATTACTTGGCATCTCTTCCTGTCGCTGCATATTTCTGTCTCTGTTGCTGGGTCCTACTCACTCCTGGATTCTCAGCCACTGCTGAGTCCACCATGTACATTTCACTGCTCTTCCAGAGGCACCTCGTGACTTAATAGAAACACAACCATGGTAGTTACAAAACAAATTAAATCTTTATCATTAACTTTCGAGCATTTCACAAACAACATTGTAAATGTGCGATGTTAAGTTTTAAATCAGACCACAGTGGTCCCCAAAAAATTATGTACATATGGCAAATGTCTGTGTAACTTTTTGTTACACTGGCAGTTTCATAGGTAACGAAACCTATGCTCCAATGTTAAATTAATTGTGTGTATATGTAAAATACACAAGCTTTAAGCTGTGTGTATGAATATGAAAGATTATGCAACCATACCAATCGTAAACTATGGGTTCTAATTATTTTTGGTGGTATTAGGTTATGTAGTTTCCAACTCAGCTGTATTTTCTCTTGCACATGCTGTTCACTTGCTGATTTCTGTGATGTGAAGAATCCTTGTTGTTCATTTGAGCTCAAAGCACAAGTATTATCACCATTCAATGTTACCCAACAAGAGTTAGTGTTAAGTAATGACAAGTTCCCATCTCACCCGCTATATGTTCACTGCATTAAAGAACAACACATGGATGAGGAAATGTAGGCTGACTTCATTGCTCACCTAGGATACTGCATGAGCCCACTCACTTAGAGCTACTCCTATTAGATAAATGAGCAGTACACGTAGGTGCATGGTTTGAAACATGACTCACATAGGGTTGCAGAGTTTGACCAAGTGGTATGTGTGTTTTTTGGTTTTCTTTTTTTCCCCTTTACTATGCAAAGATGGGAAATGCACAAACTTTTCAAAGACCAGTGTCTGAAGAATTTTACCAGTAATACTTGAACCCTTTCTTTAAAATCATCCCGTCGTATTTTACAATCGTTCCTTCCATTGTTGATTTTCATTTTTAAGTGGCTTGTAATTTTTTAAGTACACAACCTGGAGTTTTGTTTGAAGTTAATATAATTCATTCATAATCTTGTAGACTGCCTATGAATGGAGTTTCAGTACTCATTGTATGCATCTTTTAGTCAAGTCTGTATTAAAACTTTTGTTAACATAAATGTTGTGGCTTTGTACTTTAGTCATTTATCATAACCCCCTTTCCTGTGTTCACTGGTGTTGTTGAATAAATGGCCATATGCCAGATGTCATCAAGTGTTTTAGCCCAGGTCTCTCTTAAATGCTCCCTGAACATTTAAGCAATCAGTGGGACAAAATAAAATAAATCTCTGAGTAGTGATAAATATAATCCTGATAAGGATTCAGTTTCATTGGGTTTATTGGAAACGCTTTGCATCTCATAAACCAGAAAAAACAGCTTAGAATCACACCATGATTAGATTTGTTCTTTTTTTTTTTTTTTTTTTTTCCTCATCTGAGGCTATTTTCCCACTGATTTTTAGAGAGAGTGAAAGAAAGAGGGGAAGACAGAAATATCAATGTGAGAGGAACACATTGATTAGTTGCCTCCTGCACATACCCCGACCAACAACAGGGCTGGAGGGGAGCTTACAACCGAATCAAACCTGGGATGCCTCAGTCCTCAGACCTATGCTCTATCCACTGATCCAAACTGGCGAGGGCCAAGTTTGCTCATTACTCCTGCTCTTCTGTGTTCAAAGAGGGTGGCTAGTAATGACATTCACACTGTTGACCTGGTACCAATATTACAATCAAGCTGTAAAGAAAATTGACAGTGTTTGTTATTCAACCCGTGTTATCAAAAACATTGTAAAAACATTGTAATAAGGATATTTTCTTGCACATCACATGGAACTGTTCATCCAATGACATTTCTTCATGACTTTTTTTCAGAATATCTCCTCTTCATCCCCTAGATTAAATATAAAATGTAGATATCTTATATATCCACTGCCCTGATATCTTGCTTCTCTGATGAAAGTTTGAAGGGGCTTTCCATTTTCTACAGGATAAAGTCCAACCCTAATAAGACAACAAACTTCTGCCTGCCTTTTATGACTTCAGCCTTGTTTATTTAGCCTTCATTTGCTCTTATTCTCTCTCACTCTCCTATTCACCCTACTTAGATTTCCCCTCAAAGTGTCTCTTCTAACCAGGTCTGAATAATCTTATGTAAATTTTATGTCCACTCACCATAATCCATTTGTTTCTATGTCAGTTCATATAATAAAAAATATAGAAACACTTAAAATGACATGAATATTACACTTTAAATCAGAAAGCATGCTATGTTTGATTTGAAAAGAATTAACCTGACTTTTGATAGGTTTTCCTTGAAGTCATTGTGTTTTTGAGGTTGACATGGAAATGAATTTTACTCCATGACCCCTTGGTAACTGATGAGAAAGGTGACCCAGAACTTTCTCGATCGGGGAACAGCAGTCCTAGAGTTAAAACTTCGATGTGAATAATTTTAGATGATCCGTATACTCATGGTGGAAATCTTAACTAACTTTTGAAATTTAAGATAAACACCCATTAGGGACTGCTATTCATTAACTTATTAATTCAACCAATATTTATTAAGCCTGTATATCAAAGATTCCTCCTAGAAATTACAGGAACAAAAGACAATTCTTGGCCTAAAGTTGCTCATAATTTAGCTGGGAGATACAAAGGGTAAAGATGATCAATTGTGAACAGAGTAAAAACTTGAGGGGCAGGTGAAAGAGGCATGAGGAAGGCTCCCTGAAAGAAGTGGTTTTGAACAGTGTTGAAAGATGACAAGAGTTCACCGATCTAGTAAAGTGAACAGAAAGCAATGTGGAAGAGGAGCTCGGACCCTTGGTGTAAGTAATGCTCAGTATCTGATCCCTCTGACCTGTGTTTCCTTCCATGCTCCTTCCTGCACTCCCTCCTTTCCTCCTGTGTAGAAACCCTTTACTGCTGGGCCAGGTCTCAAGAACATAATGCTGAGCTCAATCTTCTGAGCAAGCTGCAACATGTAAATACATGTGGTAAGTGCCCTAATAGACATAAATATTAGGTGCTTCAGGAGAAGAGAGGAGGGAACTCTGGTCCCTGCCTTTGAGATCAAGAGGGCTTTCACATCAAAGGTGACATTTGAGCAAAACATTGTGCAATTGGACCCATATTATAATCATTCATGTTTAACCGGGGCTCATTGTGGTTGATAGAAGTCCATAGATGCCTTGGAGGAAGAACAAACTGTGATGTTCAGTCTAACTTTCTACTTCAGGTTCCTTTTGCTTGTGTGAAGATTTTTACAAGGTTGTCCATCAGAAGCTTGTTTTGCTTGTTTGTTTATTTTTAAGCCTCACCCAAGGACATGCTTAGAAAGAGAAAGCAAAGAAGAGAAAAGAGTATGAGAGGAAGAGAGAGCGCCCCCAGTGCCCAAGCCGGGAACTGAACCCAACACCAAGTTGTGTGCTCTGACTGGGAATCGAAAGGCAACTTTTTAGGTGCACAGGATGATGCTCCAACCAACGGAGTTGCACCAGCCAGGCAAAAGTTTATATTTTTAGGTAATTTCCCATTGGTGTGCTCATCGTGGATCAGTCTTATATGTTTGGCGGTGTCAGTAATGACAAAAAGGGCTTTTTGACCTGACCTGTAAGCCTCTGGCTAATTTCATAAAGATCCCTGGCTAATTTCGGTCTGGAGCAAGGGGGTGGATAAGGACCATAAATGTTTTTAAAGCATCATTTAGTAAGCCCTTCAGTTAATGAAGGGTCAAAATCATCTCTCCAAGTGCGGCTGCATTTCCAGTCCGCTACAGTTAGTGTTTATCTGTCTTGTGCCTTGGAAAGGCTATTTAACTAGAACAAGTTCTAAGCCACCATGACTTCCTGAGAGGAAGGTAATGCCATGGTCCCTCCTTACCTGAAAACAATTGTCCTGCTGGGACCTGGCGATGCTCCTTTGCCAGCTGATTTCCTGTGTGCGCCCACCCTTCCCCTGGTGTGGCTACAAAGGCTGCATTTGGGACCCCACCGAGTCTACCCTATGAGAGCATTTATATGATTGTGATGATCACTGAAAACCAAATATAAGCTGAGTAAATCAATTGGACCTACAGAATCAAGGCAAAACAAACAAAAACAACCCGAAACAAAACAAAAAACAAACTTCATCCAGAACGATCAGGAGTATATCAAGAGTTCTTCAGATCTCTTTGGAGCTGTAAATAGCTTCCAGCCTTAGGAGGTAAATGAGCTGCGGCAGAGCTCCTGACTACGTCAGGACTCAGAGTGGAGACTGGAGCAGGTAATAACGTGGGTGTGCGTGACATCCGGAGGACTCTGTTCCGCAGCAGCAGACCCAGCTTTGCAGAGTCACCGTGACTCCCATAGAGATAGAGAATGGATTGTATGCAGTAGGTTTACATGGCTTTTCCTGCGTAGGTGAAAGAGCTATAAAGCACGGTGGCAAGCCTTAAAATTAAGGTCTACAGACGCCAGTGTGCAAGATGAGCAGAGCAACCCAGTATAGGGGACACAGGGGGTAAGGGAGTTGGAGCTGAGCTGGAGAGCACATACCCTGTCTCTACTCTGCTCCAGCCAATTGTCACCATTGTCCAGCCAATTGTCCCCTTCCATGTATTGTTTTAGAGAAGCCGGAAATCCATACTTGTATGTAAAATTTCAATTTTTGAATTATGCAGCCTGTTTATATTTTAATAGCACGGACGTGCAAACAGAACCTGTCTTTGTGTAGGAGTAAGCCTATTGGCCCCTAGTAGGTAACTGCTGCATACATTGATGAGACATTTTCATGTGTGGCCCCTGGGATCCTCCGATAGTTCCAGGGAGTACAAAGACGCAGCCTTGCTCCCAATCAGGTGGGCCATGTGAAGAGGCCTTCACATGAGCTGCCACTTTCAGTGTTGACTTACTGTTACTTTGTGTGGCTGAGGAGCAGACACTGACAGCCAGTACAGAAGGCAGCCTGCCTGAGGTATTCCCTTTGGCGGTGCTTTGTGTGCTAAGTTTATTCAAATGTGCTAAATTGTGGGAGAACATATAATGTATAGGCAAATCGGCTTAGTCTCAGTGCTCATTCCTCAATGCTCACTGAGGCAGCTTAGTGGCTGCCTGGATCTTAAGCCATGTCTACCATCAGACATGATGCTGTGATTGATTGTAGATGTCTGCTGCCTGGCAACCAGAGGTATCTCAACTAGATCTGCACAAATCTTAAGATGGTCTTTTTCTGACTCTCAAAGCCATTTGGACATAGGGGTGAACCAGCCAACCCGGCTAATTCAGGTTTCTATAATCCTCTGGGTCCAGGGAAATATGGAAAAGAGGCTTGAGCAAAGCACTATAGAAGCTGAAAAATCCAGTAGGGAGAAACAACTTAATTTTTATTTTATTTTTCTGAATAATTATGAAAATCTGCACATTTATTGCAGAAAATTGCAAAATAATAAAAAAGTAAAGAAAATTAAAACCACTACAATCTAATCACCAAGATGTAACTTCCACTAATACTTTATTAATTTCCTAACCACCCCTCCCCCCACCTCCACCATCACCAAAGAATCAGCCCACAAAGGTAAGCAGCAAGTGGCTCTCCCTGAGAACCTGTGTTTACATTCCCCTGCTTATTTACATATGTGTGCATTCTATGTACCATATTCTATGTTCTACTGGTTCCAGAAATGCAGAAATGGATGGGACAGACAAATTATTATTAAGGCAAAGAAGTACTTTCTAGCCTCTCAGTCTTGGCTCAGCCTGTTTCCTCTCCTGGGAAGACTTCCTCTCTCTCCAGTGCCCCCAAATTCCTATGCATCCCTAAATGTCACCTCAGATATTACCTCCTTCACAAAGTTTTGTCTATCCTTCTGTAGCTTTCTAGGTAGGTCCAGGGAGTGTGGGGGCCCCAGTTAGTGTTGGAGCTGGGATGAAATGACAGGTTTTGGGTCTCCAAAGTCCATGCTCTAACGACATCACCCTGTGTTCCCTCTTATATCTCCACTTTCCAGTAGAAAAAAAAATCAAATTTGAAGAGGTTTAACACCTTCCTTGAGATCACCATTCTTGTAAGTGCAAGGGCCAGCTTCAGGCAGTCCAATTGAGGATCCTTTTCTGAACCCAGAAGAACAGGAAACAGGACATTCAACACAAAAAGATGAGCAAGAGGGTAGAAGCTAACGGGAACCTCTTCCTGCCTACTCACCCTTGTGGGATGCTTCTGCTAGGAA